TTGAAGCGTAAGGCGCTGATGGGGAGAATGAAGAGGCGAGGTGGTCCGCCATAACTCAAGCTTCATTAATACACAAATGCAACACAAGGGTACAGCCAAGGAGAATGAATGGAAACTTTGCCCTTTCAGCAGACCTTCAAGCCAGCCAAGCCTATGACTAGACTGGTGCTCGTCCAATTACTGACACACAAAGTCCCCACAACAGTTGGTGAAACCCCGATACCTAGAACAAACACACACATATCCCTCCTACTATGCAGATTATCCAAATATTTACAACTTGCAGTTCTTAACCATCATGGATGCTACAATATTCTTTCCTCTGGCCTAAACAGTGTAGACTTGCTTAAGAAAGATGACCAGGTCAGCCTGCTGACCACACTTTGAGAACCAGTGTTCTAAACAAAGTAGAGAATCATACATTAATGTGAAGTGTCTGTTTTTTTCACCTGAACAGTATTCTGAAAAGTATTTTGTCTTTATCTTACAGGTGCACTGAATTTCTCCTTGCAAAATGGGAATAGTCCTTGTGCTGGACGATTAGAACTGAAGGGTGATCTCGGCATCTTATCATTTCCTGATGAGTACATGGATACAAATGTGGCTCATGTTCTCTGTAAGGAGCTAAGATGTGGATCTAGTGCCTCAGTAAATAAACAAGCTCACTACGGAGAAGTGGCTAGTGGCCTGTGGTATTTTCCTATTAGGTGTAATGGGAATGAACCTTCTTTCTGGCATTGTCATGCACTATTTGTACCACGCCAGGCAACACTTGATAAATCCAGCTACACAGGTCTTGTATGTTTTGGTAAGTAACCAGCTGCTGTAATTTCCCTTTATTTTTATGAGGAGTTTTATTACTTGTTTGCAAACTCAGAAGCAGTTTCTGAAAAATGAGTTATTAATTAAAGTTTTGAAAATATATTAATTAATGAAAATTATCACTCACTATCCATTTGATAGTGTTAAATCTAAATCTAAATCATCCTACAAATAAGAAATACAGATACTATTTCCATCTTGTCACCTTCATACAGAATGCTTCATTTTAAATTCAGAAAGTTATTGTTTGTGTTTATTAATGTGAAGCTTGAGGACTGAATTTGACTTTTTAGTAATTGTATAACTTTATATTTGTATAAGGAATAAATACAAAATTTGAGATGTAAATGAAACACTGTTTAAATGATAAATGTAACCCAATGAAAGTATAATCAATCAATCATCTTCTATCCCCATTGCAGTTGTATTTTACATCATATTAAGAACTGCTCTTGTGTGAAGTATGAAACTGCATTCAACTGCAGTTTGTCTTTATTTTTCTGAAAATCAATGCATAATGTTTAAAATATTCTAAATGTATTTTTAATTCAGTAGTTCTGTGGTAGTAATTTAGTAGTTCAGTTCTGTGCAATTCTAATAACGAAGAAATGAGCTGGTGAAAATGAATGGATACAATCATTTATGGGGGATGAACCAGGAAGGCAGCTGCAAGTGAGAAGCTAGGGTGCCAAGTGGCGTGGTAGAAAAGATTTGTGCAGTTATGGGCAGCCAGTAATTCTTTTTTACTGTAGGAAAGTGAAAGTGTGAGATTAAAATTTGATCTACCCCCAGTATTTTAGTCAAATTCTAATAACAAAATGAATTAACAAATACAAAGAAAGAGCATACTTAATACCTTGGCATTAAGTCACCTGGCTCAGAGAATCACAACACAGGTCAAATATCTGCTCTGTCACAACCCCAAAAGGATTCCCAAAATACTGATGCAGACTTCTTTGAAAAGGGAGAGAGTTGGATTGCCTGTAATGATTTGCAGGGACTAAGCAGAATGTGCTTGTAGCATGGAATAAGTAAGAAGAACATGTGATAGTGTCTTGAGCTTTCTTAGATCAAGTAGATTTGAATATGCAATTCAGAGGAAGTTTTAGAGGAAGACTGATATGGAATTAAGTGAATTAGATATGTCACAGTAAGGTGAACCCTTTGAGTGAAAAATGATAGATACAGTAGATAAGACTTTATTGATCCCGAAGGGAAATTGAGGTGTTACAGCAGCCCAGCCCAAGACGAGCAAAAATAGACATCAGAATAGACGAAAAATTAAAATATGTACAGTAATACAAAATAAATATAAAATAATTACATAGGCGTGTGCGAAATATGCTTCTAGTCACTGTAAAAAACACAATATATTTTCTAAGAAGCAAAAAAAAAGAACATCCACAGCAACAAAAAAATAGTTCCAAGGGGCACAATAAAATCCTGAGAGACAGCAGTCTTTTCTGTAAAGCACTGAAGAGAGGCCAGTACAACATTACTTCTTAATATCAGTGAAAGTCGTTGATGGCTTAGAGATGAACAGCCACTTGTCACGCCCTCTGCAGCCAGAGGGCGCTTCTTCTCTGTCCTGTCCCTAGTTTCCGGTCTGTTGTCCTTCCGGTCCCTCTCTTTCCCTGGGGCTATATATTTCCGGGTCTTGCACTCTGTCCTCGCTCAGCATTGACGTTCGGATGTCCTGAGACCCGCCTAGCACCAGGGCGCCCCACCTCCGCTCCCTGAGGGCATAGGTTTCTATACAGCATTCATGAACTCTTTGCCCTAATG